AAAAGCTAAGAACTCAATTTGACCTAGACATAACTTTTCTTGGTATCTTCCCAAAAGAGTCAAAGTCACCATATTAAATTGACAAATGCATAACTATGTTTTTAGCAGCACAGCTCCTAATAGCTAATTCATGGAAATTGCCTATATGCTCATCAACAGATATATGGACTAAGAAAATGTGGCATATATACATAAGGGAGTACTACTCAGCAATAGAAAAGATAAATTTGAGTCATTTGTGAGAAAGTGAATGCACCTCGAAACCATACTTCTAAGTGGAACAAATTAGTCACAGAAGGTTAACTATCACATGGTTCTGCAATATGAGAGGATCAGAATATAAATATCATGAAGAGAAGAATAAAAGAAACATGATGAGAAGCAGGGAGGTGGACTCTGTGGAGAGGGGAAGGGAATGTGTGGAAGGAGGGAGAGGCAGGGTAGTGAGGCAGGGGAGTAAAAATGACCAAGATGTTTGTGTGTGTGCATCAGCCCCCTTACACTGAGTGTAATCACTGTGTACTGCAAACATGTCTAATTAAAAATTTAAAAAGAAGGAATACTCTGAGGACACAGATAAAAGGATCATGTTACTAATCAATCAGAAATAGAGTTGGAATCAGACTATACACATGACAAGAGAGTAAAATTGACACATAGAGCACACTCAAGCAGAGAGCATGTGAGGCAGCCAAGCTTTCTTCGCATATAGAAGAGGTTTGAAGATGTGAGAATTCAGGGTATCCATTCCTGTGAACACTTTTTTGAGACTGATACCAGAGGCTAAACTCTAGACAAACAGGAGGGAGTCGGCAATATTTCAGCAAAAAAATCAAGGAGCGTATGTTGTGTTATACAACTGCTGTGAAAATTTTCAAATATACACAAATGTAAACAGAATAATGCAATGAATCCTATATACTTTCCTTCAAAAGTATCAGTATTTTGTCAGTCTTGTTTCATTTTGCAGCTCTCTTTTTTTTCTGGAGTGTTTTAAAGAAAATCCTAGGTAGTACGACAATATATCTAATGCTCATTCATATTGCCCTAAATATTTTAAACATATCTTGTTATAGTTCATTGTTCAAAATAGGATACAATCAAGGTTCACATTTTACATTTAGTTCTTAAGTTTCTGTATCACATTTATTCTCCTGTTTTTATATCATTGATCCGTGGAAAAACTGAGCCACCTGATGTGTTAGTCAGCTTTCTGGGGCTGAGATAAAATACTGAGAAAAGCAACTTTTAAAGAAGAAAGCTTTATGTGGGCTTATGGTTTCAGTGGTTCAGTCCAGGATTACTTCGCTGCATCACTTTGAGCCTGTGACGAAGCAAAACTTCATGACAGCAACATGTGGAGAGCAAAGCTGCTCGCCTCATCATAGCCCAAAAGGGGTGCAAAATGTATACTTTTCTAATTCTGCAAAAGCTCTACAAATAACAAAATTGTTATAATAAAACAATAGCTTTTCTTATATTTGGATAACAATTATTGGGAAGATATAATGGAAAAGCAAAATAATGGCAAAAAAGAATAACAAACACATTTACAAGACATGTAAAACTTCTGTGAGATAAACTTTGAAATATTCCTAAAACGCAAAAAATATTCTTGAGCCAATAAAGAGATACCCCCAGTTCTTGACCAGGTTGTTACGTCATAACAAAGATGTCTGCTTCAAAAAATCTGGATCAGAGAACAAAATTCTGAATATCTTCTAGGGTGGCCTGCCCTATGCTTTACTTTTTCATGCATAGATTATTATTTTTATTTATTTATTTCCTCCGGTACCAGGAACCGAACTCACGACCTTGCACTTGCCAGGCAGGCGCTTTGCCGCTGAGCTAAATCCCCAGCCCCCTATGCTTTACTTTTGAGCCACCATTCTTAGGGTGTGGTCTCTGTACCAATACTGGCATCACCTGAGACTTGCTAGAAATGCAGATCATCTTACTTCCCTCCAGACCTACTGAATCAGACTTTCTGGAGATAGAGCTCAGCAATCTACATCGTAATAAACTCTCCAAATGATGTTCACATATGCTAAGTTTGAGAAATACTGCACTTGTGTTTCTTAAATTTAAGTTGCATAGGAATCCGCTAAGATCTTGTGAAAATGAGGGCTTGAACCGGCATGTCTAAGGCAGAGTCTCATTCAGCATTTCTAACAAGCTGCTTTGTGATGCTGATGTTGGTGATCTGAAGATAACACTTTGAAGAACAAGACTTGAAGGCAAGCCCATTTCCTGGTTATTCAAGGCCAACCTACTCTGTAACCTCCCTCACTGTTATTTTTGTCCTCAGTCATAATGACAAATAATAGCTCAGTGTGTTACTCCTCCTAACACTATATGTACTTATTCTAAATAGCATTTAACCAAATAAATAAATAAATAAATAGCATTTAACCCACAACAGTGTGCTCCTTTCAAACAAACTTTAACCAAAAATAATTAAAAGGGCATCTCAGGCTTCGGTGGAGCTAATTTTGTTTTGTTTTGTTTTGGTACCAGGAATCAAACTCAGGACCTTGCACTTGTCAGGCAGGCACTGTGCCACCAAGCTCTATCCCTGGCATTGGTGGAGCTAATTTTGAAAAGGTATACAGTTAGCATTTATTAAATCAGAACAAGATACAGCTAATTGGATCCTAAAGAAAAAGAAAACATTGAGGGAAAAAGCTATGCAGATAATCTTGGTATAATATATGTCTAGGGCTGGGGATATAGCTCAGTGGCATCAGTGCCTGCCTGGTGAGCACAAGGTGCTGAGTTCAATTCGCAGTACCAAAAAAAAATTAAAAATTTTTTTTTTTTTTTTTTTTAAAAATTAAAAATTTAAAAAAAAAAATATATATATATATATGTCTAAATACAATTTGCATCTAACTTTTCTTTTTGTATAAGTTCTGGATTTTATTTATTTGTGTTTGGCTATACATTATTTCCTATTGCCCCCAAATTTTGTGGCTTAATCTACTAGACATTTATTTAAGATCATGGTTTTCTGGGTCAGGGATTGGTACAGGACATAGTGGATACTGCTCTATAAAGCCTGCAGCCTCAGCTGGGTAAACTTAAACATCTGGAATTGGCTGCAGTACAGAACCTTAGATCTGGGGCCTTCAGGTCCAGCTGATGGTTGGGCTCCAGCTTCTTTTCCACGTCATGTGTACCTTGGCTGGAATTTCCACAGTGGTTTCTTGGCTTCTTTACTCCTGTGTCTGAGGACTGAGCTAAAATAAGTGAAACAATTAGGGCTGTAAGGTTCTCTCTCTCTGTCTCTCTCTGTCTCTCTCTCTGTCTTTGTCTCTCTATGTCTCTCTATCTCTCACCCTTAAACATCAGAACTCCAGGTTGTCTGGTCTTTGGCTTCAGACTGAGATTTGCACTGATTCTCCTGATACTCAGGCTTTTGGTCTTGGATTGAACCATGATACCCACTCCTGTGTTTCTCCTGCTTGCAGATGGCATATAATGAGATATCTCACGCTCCATAACTTCGTGAGCTATGTGAGCTGATTCCTACAACTCCCTTCTTATATATATATATAATCATATTGATTCTTTCTGGAGAACCCTGACTAACACATTAGGTAGGTATTATTAAAATGACACATAGATGTACGAAAAATGCTCCGAAGTTGATTTGGCTAAAACCAATATCACTTCAAAAAACAAAAAGAAACCCATTGTAAAAACCTTCTTTGAAGTACATACATGCTTTATAAAGACCATAGATAGTACCTCTTTCTAACTCAGCACACAAGGATATCACCTTGGTAACTTGAGATTGTAATATGGAAATTGGCCAAATTAGGATGTTTTTCCCAGAGAAGTAATTGCTAAACCTTTATTACACATCATTGTGTGAAAACCAGATAGCATTGCAGCTTCACACACGTTACTGCCTCTATGAACTTCCTTTGTAGAATCAGTAGCTCTCCCCTATGCCTGCACATTAGAGTCACTTTAGGAGATTTGAAAAATGTCAATGTCCAGGCCTGAACCAAGAAAAATTACGTCAAGATCTCTGGAGTGGTACCGGACATTGAGATTATCAATGAGATTACCTCCACACAGGTAATTCCAAAATGCATTCAGTATTGAGAGCCACTGACACAGATTCTTCCCACCTAACCTCCATTAACCACCTAGATTTTTCTTAATTATTTTCAAAAATAATAAGCCCATAAAAGAAACTAAATATTGCCTGCTTTGTACAGCAGAGAAAAATGAGAAGGAATTATTAGAAATCGAGATACATGCCTTAGAGAACTACCAGTCTAAGAGAGTAGCATCTTTGTGCTATAGCTTGGATCTGGAAGACCTTGAAGGGAATGATGATAGGACCCTAGCTCCTTGTGTTTCCTTTCTTTTGCTTCCCGGTCATGAGTTGAGTGGTTTTGCTCAGGAGTTCCACCATGGGGTATGGCCTTGCCACAAGCCCAGAACAATGCACCCGAGCAACCATGGATTACAATTGTCAATGCTGTGAACAAAAATAAGTCTTATCCTTTATAAGGTGATTTGTCTCAAGTTAGTAGTTAAAAGATGCCAGGTGAGAAGAGAAGAGATGGGAGTTTGCTGGAGACTTGAGAATCTTTACCAGTTTTTATAGTAAATCTGAAATATGGTACCATATTTATTTGAAATAAAGTATCATACTTGAAATCAGTACCTTCATCATTTCCCTGTTAAATATACATATTTTGGTGATGTGTCAGAGGTCCCAAGTAGAAAACCATATATATTTTTAAAACATTATTTTGGATGTACACACACATATACACACATCAATGTATTTCTAAATGTAGTAATGCATAGAATTATGTAATGATTTGTCTACCAATGTTTATTTTTATATTCTTTGGTAAATAATTTTTCTTTCCCTTTTCCCACTGGATATGAATAAGCTGAGTATGTCGAAAACCTGCTGTTTATCAGCACAGTCTGAACAAGCAAGTAGGAACTTCACAGGGAAAAAAAGAATCCTGTACATTATACACAATTTATTCGTAGGATAATTTCACAAAATAGATGTTTCATGTCATTGAATTTTTTCCTTCTATGTATTCCTTGTGTGCAAAAGCATCGTTATTTCAAAGAGCATTCTCCACCCCTTTGCTTTTATGTAACAGAGCAACAGCTGTAGAAGAAGGTAAAGTACGCACATGTGTTGTCCTTTGGTTTTAAAGGAAATTAGAAGTTTAAAAAGCAAGTTAGCATAGGCTTAGATTGGCTGCAGTCCAGGGTTGTCACTGTATTCTTCAATTCTAGACCTATAGGAGACTGGCAGAGCAGATATTAGTGGGACCCTTCCGGCATTCTCTCCAGATATTTAATTTCAGGATGCTCGTCCTACTCTCTGGAGGGTCACACCCTGGACCACTGCTACCCAGGAATGACTCACAGCCAGAGAAGCCTCAGAGCCCTCTTTGGGATGAAGTCCCAGTTAGCATTCTAGAGCCCCCAGAGAAAGATGCTGATGACCCTTAATTCCCCATCAGACTGAGACTTCACTTGAAACGTCACTGCTGCTTGTGTCTGTTCTGCTACCAGGTTTCTCCCAAGCACATTCCTTATTAATAAATCCCTTATGCACAGCTTCCTGTGGTAAACACTGCTTGCCTAACCTAAGACAACACACTATCCACTCTTCTGAAATCTCCCCTGCGGAAACCAGCTTCCTTTCTCAAGGGCAGATACCAGTTTGCCCATCCTGTCTCCACCCATTAGCTCCAAGGTTGTCCCTGGGACAGACACAATTTTTTAGACCTGTTTTCCTCTTGAGTTAAAGCAGTGTTCTAAAGAAATTAAGACCAGGAGTCAGGAGAAGCATCTGACTCATCCTGGGGTGACTCGTTCTCAGAGTAGGAGGATGAGCTCCTCTGCTGCTTACTAAGCTGCAGTTAAAAAGTACCCGAGGCTGCTGGCTTCTTTTTAGTCAGCGTGAATATTCTTGAATAAGGCAGTGATTGCTATGAGTGTGAGCTTTCTAACTATAGGATGCCTCTGGGGTTTAGGGTACCCAGAGTTAACTCCTTAGTTGTCAGCTTGCTGTAACTAAGCTACTTTTGATAACTACTGCTTTACTCTTTCATCCATCCCCAGAGACATACAGGCAGAGGCTGGTTTCCATCTGCTTTATTCCATCTCAGCAGACACTTAAGGGAAGAGGAGATCCAGGCCAAGAAGGACTAAAGACAAGCATTTGTTTCTGAATTTTCTCTCTCTTTATTACATCTCTTCTGCCCCCTCTCATAGCTAATTCCTCCCATCTCTCCCCACCTTCTCCTCCCTCCAAATCAGTTTCTCATGAGCCCTTCCTCATGCTGAATTATATGCCAGGGTGGCTCTCGGCTCTGGGAAAGTGCTTGGCTTACTATTAACTTGTTTCATATAAAAGGCACAGTTCAGGCACAACCAACTGGCAGCAATGCTTAGAACCACGTATGAGCAGAAGGGAGAGAGAGCTTCTGTGCCTCCTCTGCAAATCCCGCCTTCCATGTGTTAGAGCTCTCAGAACCCTGTCCTTTGGAGAGCTTTTGTGGAGGCTTCATTAGGTTCACATAATTGATTACCTTGTTTGCCGCAGTGACCAACTCAGTGGCCAGCCCCTCTATTCTTGGGAGGTCTGCAGATAGGGCTGAAAGTTTCAACCTTGTAATCCAGTTCCCACCTAGAGGCTACCTTTCATATCATTGGTATACAAAGGGACGCATTGTGTAAATCCCAAGGTTGGTGGAAGTTCTGCGACAGGAATGAGCACAAAGACACAATATATATTTTTTCTTATAAGACACAATGTCATAGATATGCTCTGTAGGGTTGTAGCCTGTTTGTCATCTTGGCTTATGGTAATAAGGAGCTAATATCCAGCTTTCTCACACCCGGAGCTGTGGACTCCCAGTGATGCCAGGAGTGAGCCACAGTGAATAACATGGTCTCTCCTCCTGAAGCACAGTTCCACTCAGATACTCAAGGGGAATTTATGTGTATATGCGTGCATGCATGTGTGCACACACACATGCACACACACACATACCAGTGTGGATATATATAAATGTGCATCATTTCTGATAAATGCAAAACTGTAAACTAGTTTAATACTAGTAATACTTTGATCAGTGTTCCCAGACCTTGAGTCAGAACAGTTTACCCTGCTACAGTCTTAATATTTGTACTCCTCAACCCCACTCCTCTGTTGAAACCCTAAACCTCAAGGCTATTAGAAGGTCCTGCTTTGCATGGTAATGATATCATGAGGGCAGAGCCTTCACACTTGGGATTGGTGCTCTTATAAAAAGGTGTCGAGGGGAACCTACTTGTTCTTTCCATTGTGGGTGGATTCAGCAAGAATTGAGCGATCTGCAAAATAGAAGAGGGCCCTCACTAGACATGAACACGCAGCATCCTGATCTCAGAATCCCCAACCTCTGGAACTGTGAGAAATGCATCTGGATTGTTTATAAGCCACCCAGCCCATGACACTGTGTTACAGTAACCCAAACTGACTGAGATGGACTAGTGGCATAGTAGGCATCATGCCACATGAGGACCCATGAGAATGCTTTTAATTTCAAATTCAGAAGACGATAAGTAAACTTCTAGGTTGATTAAAGTGTTTGCATATTTTGTTTGTATTTCTATCAATGTAGTCATGTCTGTGCATAGAAACTTGTTTGTGAAAGAAAAAGTGCCCAGGGCCCACAGCATTATGATGTGACCCACCTCCAGGGACATACTTGCATCATACAGTGAAAACATGTAGAAGTCTTTGGATTTCGCACAACCTGTTCTTGTAATTGGCTGTTTTTGAGAACCGGGGTCTTTAGATTCTAAGGGAATGAATTTCAAATGGGAGAAATTCATATAACTTAAAAGGCACAGGTTGCCTTAGGCTGAATTTGCACAAAAAGGAGTCCTGCTAGCAGTGCCTCAGATGCCACTGCATCCAGCACTCTGCAGTCAGAGTTTCTGGCTCCTTCAGAAACCACTGCTTCAGCTGCCAGACACTGGGACTCATATTTGCCCAGAGTAGGGGAACCTCTTGCATAAAAGCTATTTGCTAAATCACAAAATCTTAAAACTTAGAGCAGTGTTTGCACCTCCTAGGCCCATTCCTCCATCCAGGCAAGATCATCATCCACATCAATTTGATCCTGACATTAAGTGTGCTGGAGAACTTTAAAGATGTTTCCCTTTTTGTCACAGTTTAGTGAGAAAGTTCTAACTTGGAGAAAACAGAGAGATGCAAGGCTGTTATGGAGTCAGCGGGAGGCTGTCACAATGGATGCACTGCTGAGAGCTGTGAGTCAGTGGTGGTACAAGAGCTACAGATCCTGTGCAGTGCCCACAAGAATCATTGTGGTCTCAGCGTCCTGGGGACAGGGCTCCAGACCATCATCCACCACCCTGTGGAGGGTGCTGTAATGTTGCTGGCTTGGGTGGAAAGAATGCAGCTCTGAAGCAGCCTCCCAGGCAGCAAAGGTAGGCATGGGAAAGACATCTGGCCTCTTGTTTTCAAAAAAGCACTTCAGGTTTCTTTCACTCAGCTTGTTGGCATAGTCCACAAATGTATTTTCCAAATGCTCCTTTTCCTTTTGTGCATATGTCTTCCAAAAACTTAGCTGCAGATAGCTAACTTTAGACCGGCAGCGTGCATAGCAAGTGGTGATCAGAGAGAAGAAAGATGCTGAACAAATCAGGAACCATCCTAGAATCTTAGGGAAAAAGATATATTGAGGACATATGAAAGCAAAATCACATTTCAGGGAACTGAAGTAGTATGATTAGGAATAGCTAAATCATCACCACCATCCTTATCATACCTCATTTGAAATCATTTATGGTGCTTGATAAACACTTTCATCCGTCAAAATAAAGTTTACCTAATATTTATTCTCTTCCCTAATATTGTTGCTATGCAAACAATAAATAAATAAATGAATAAATAAACAGAAGGCCAGCAAATGGAAAAGAGTAAAAAATATAAATTTTTCAAGAATTGAATAAGCCAAGTCCCCAAATAGTATTATCTTTTAGAGAAAAGAATTCTGTGCAGGAGTAATTGCGGTCATCTGAGCAATGCCCGCGAGAATCATTGTGGTCTCAGCATCCTGGGGAGAGGGCTCCAGACCATTGTCCACCACCCTGTGGAGGGTGCTGTTATGTTGCTGGCTTGGGTGGAAAGAATGCAACAATATATGGCTAATTAACACCAGTTAAGTAGCCATATATTCTTAGACATTGACAATGCATATAAGGCTAGTGACCCAATTTTCCCATGTGACATTGTTTACAGAGTAGCAGTCTGTGGGACAAAGGCCATTCACTACTCACTGTTCTTGGTAAAGAGAGACAAATAATAAAATAGGAGGCTAAAGCTATCAGAATTTAAAGCCTGTCTAAATGCTGAGAAAAAAAGCATCACGCCAAACCTTAAAAGATTTTTTGTTCTGAATTTTAGTGATTAAAACAAACTCTTTTCTTAATATGAATGGACGTTATGCTTCTGGGTTTTTTTGTTGTTAATTTTAAAAAGAAAGGCTGTGTAGGTCAGCATATTTCTAAATATTTTTGTGGTTCAAATTCTGTTTTTTATAAATGGAATATTTTATATTTGCCCAACTAAAAGATCTCTTTGAAACTGTTGAATGACCTTAGTATTCTTTAACAGGCTTATTTGAGAATAGAAACAATAAATTGCAAACGAGTCTATTTATACCATAGCAAAACTGCAAATGTGCTCCAGATCAATGGCTTTAAAACTCTGGCTCAGACATGAGGTTGTAGTGAAAGGTCTCAGACTGTGTGAATGTTTACCCTGGATGGGCATTATTTGGCTATAAATCTTCCTTTCCCCTTACTATGTCTCTGTTTCTCAAATATAAAATGGGAGTGCCCCATCTCAGAGTGTATTCGGGGGAATCTGGTGAAATAATGCTGAACACACAAGTACATTCAGTGAGGGTAGCTACTATCTCCTGCTGCTATTTTTCGAATGTATATACATTTGTGTGAAAGCGTTACTGAATTCGTAATCTCCTTCTGTACCTGTGATCTGTGAGTCAGGTACAGCTACGTAGTTGTCTACCTCAGATCTTCCTTTTCCTTCCATCATCTGCCTTCTTTGATCTCCACAACTGGTCCTCTTCTCGGCCATCTTCTTTCAGAATCTGAGCTGATTTTAGCTGAGTCATAAACTGTTTGATCAACTTCCAATGCCTTCCCACCTCTCCATGACTTAGCATTGACCAGCCATCCTGAGGCCTGACCACTGAAACTTCATGTCGCTCACTCCACTACCCCCGTCACTATACCAAAGTCAAACAAGAGTGTGATGAATGCTCCCTCAATAGAGTGCTCATTCAGATCCTGTTTTACATCATTCTCCTTCCCCAAATCCTGACAATTTTCTCATCAACTAGAAATACCTACTACACGTCTTATGCTCATTTATGTCCATTGTCTCTAAACCTTCCAACAATCCAGGGACATACAGTACTTGTACTGTACCACACTATCCCAAATTTACCTCCAAGGCTGAGCTCTTTCCACTACTCCATTCTAACACCCTTAAGACTAGAGATTCATCCAGCTGGATTTCCTGTTGTTCTGCCCCATTCACAGATGAATGTACTTTTTCCACTTCCACCCACATGCCCAGTTACTGGTCGGGACTGTGTTGACGCACCTGCATTTGCTACAGCTCCTTTCATCCACATCTTTCAGGCCTCCTCCCACAAGAATCAGCCCCAGGTCCTTCTCATTCTGCTGCAAAGTCAACAGGTAATTGTGCCCAGTCTACACTATGACAGAATGTGTATCATTTAAATCTTGTGCCTGTGTTTAGAGAAGAAAAGCTTACACAGTGATAAATGTTTGGATGTGGCACTGCCTGAATGGAGCTTGGTTGCCTGAGGACAACAATAAATTATTCATTGTCATAACATTTGTAATTAATACCTTCCTTCAACAAAAGGGAGCCTGACATGTTTTATCTAAGATGTGCTTTGCGCATTGAAGAAAAGGTCTTGTTTTGGGACATATTTTGGTCTATCAGTTCATGAAAGAATATGACTTCACTGTCAATGACTTTGGGATGTATGATTTTTAAGAATAGTCTTGCTTTGATACGTTGTAAATCCAAATCCTTGTTGAAAAAGTAAAATTATACTACTTGGGTGCATTTATTTTGAAACAAATACTATTCCTGACAAATGCAACTCTGTTCATCTTCTGGTACTGCTTGTTGTGGTTTGGGGAATGCAAATAGGATGTCTGTCTTTTCCTAAGTCCAGGGCAGGGCTATTCATTTGTGTTCAGGTGTCTGGAGAGTTGGCAAGCTACTTCCTTGAACCAATTAGGTGAAGCTATGATTTCTTCCTGCCAAATAAAAAAGCCTGAATTTTGAGAGTCTAAAGTAATGTTAGAACTTCTTTAGTTCAACAGCACAGAGAGTAAAAGACCTAATCTCCCTGGAGAACATGGCCACTTTTCACTGATGGCTATTTAAAGACTACTGAGTCGTAGTTTATGTGGGAAATTCTTCTCAATCTTGACAGTATTTCTACATAGAAACAACAGTGGCTGGAAACCATTCCAGGGAATTACTACACTAATTATGTTGTATGCAACTTTTAAAAATGTTAGTTTATTTGTTTTAGCTGTATTTTAGTAAGTGCATGTTTGTGTTTCTCTAAGGAACCAGTTTGAAAATGAATAATTTTTAATTACAGTCAGCCATTAACACTCAGTTTATGATTTGATGTTGTACATTATTTACAAAAGTCAATCCAGAGAGACAGTATTAAAGAACCTAAGTATTTCCATATACATAACCCAGAGGATATTTTCTTTTTGGAAATAGAAAAGATATAATCCAATCAACAATTTTCCTGAGCCAGCCAGCCTCTAGAAAACTTTTCCTGAGATTGTCTTAATGCTACGGGAACATTATGTTCTTATTTCCACTTAGTTTCAAAATATCCTGGCATACTCATACTAGCCCTGGTTGAAAATAGGACAGATGGAAAACTTCAGGCTCAGGCTGGGAGAAAGAGGCAAGTTTGCTCTTACCTGAGACTGGGCTTGCAGGGACAGTCTCACTTCTTCATTGTCCGTGGGCAGCATGCTAGTTTTGCCACAAGATACTTTGTGAAGTTCCTCCCAGCATTCTTTGGGCTTGCCCTTGCAGATCAGATCCAGGATTCTTGAACTTTTTGTCCCGCTCATGGCACACTCATAAAAAGTTCCATTAAGCAAAGTCACAGAAAGCCACATCACCGGAGCCACCAGTGCACTCAGTGTGATCTGGCCAAGGACATAGAAGAAGCGGCCACCGTGGCCCTTGGGGAAGATTTTCCTGGGATTCACACAGCAGCCTGTGAAGAGCTTCCATGCCTGGTTGTTCAGAAAGAATCCTAGGATCAGTAACACCCAGGCAGGAGCAAAAAGGAATACCAGCCCATAAGCCATATTCTCACTGCTGCAGGGGCACTTAAAAGCCACAAGTGAAAAGAGACGCTCACTTCCCAAAGTCAGCAAAGCCATGAAGCTGTAGCCAATAGCAGTTTTCTGGTTAAGAAAGAATTTTACAATGGGCTGAAAAGCATCCATGTTGGAGATGCACAGAGAGGGAAAATGCCTTGCCTTTGCCTTTGCCTTTGCCTTTGCCTTTGCCTTTGCCTTTGCCTTTGCCTTTGCCTTTGCCTTTGACACCGCAGCTGTGGCTATGGCTGTCGCAGTGGACAAGGGTGGAGCTCTTTGTTCATTAGAAACAACGTCCTCAAGTCTCAGGCTGAATTTGGCCAGATAAGAAAACAATGTCATTCCCTAGGAATGCATGTTTCCCAACAGTGTTCAGATAATGCCTCCTACTGGTAGATACTGGGCTGTGACCCAGGAGTCTAAACCCTGAGCAGAGTAAATCAAAATGCACAGCCTCCTTTTTAATATTATTTCTGTGTGGCTTAGGTTAAAAATGAGAAAGAAATTCTCACTCATATGACTAACAGCCTAGGAATTTTACAGCAAGATAAATCAACATAGTAGAAATGGGTTTCAGACAGTTAGTTTATTTGGATCTAGACGAAACCTCCAAACCCATAGTTTCACATTGAATGCTTTTTCTCTTGCTGTATGACTTCAGATTTGGAAGACAGAGATTCCAGACTTCTAAAACTGGAGTAGTATTAGAAAATTAAACCATTTTTAGTATGGCAGATATTTGAAATTTATATGGAAATGTTTAAGGAATGGTTGAGTTTTGAAGAAAAAACAAAATGAGAGAGGTCCTCATGATTTCCTTCCTAGACTATCATGGTAACATCTTGACTGATAATCTCTCTATGACCTCATGTTCACCTTCCCTCAATCCTAAATTCATCTTCTGTGCAACACAAAGGAGAGTCCTCTCAAACAGAAATGTGATTCTGCATTAACCTGATCCCGTCTTTAGGGTTCCCCACTGTCTGTAAACTGTTTGAATGGGATGTCCCCAAAGCTCATCATGGTATGCCGTGCCATCACATGTCCCTACTGTGTACAACGTCTCTGCCCTACTGCCTCTTCACCTTGTCTCCCTGCAAATGCTCACTCAGCATCTGAGTGTCCTGGGCCTCAACATGATGCCAAACATAGATTAGATACTCATTCAATAATTTTCTGTAAATGGCTGTTGAACTCCCACTGTGTGCCAGACATGGTGCTAATCAGGCAGTGCTCAATAAGTACTGAACAAAGAAAGGAAGAAAGAAAAAGATCATTCTTAGTACTTCAAATTACAAATAATATAAGAAAAGTTTCTTTTCTCTGCTATACACTGCTCTTAATTTTAAAAATAACTAAAGCATTTGAAAGGTGGTATCCTAAACTGATAAATTTCTATTAATTGATAAGTTTTAATATCCAACCCTGTGTGAAAAATTCAGGCTTTGGACTAAGAGCCAAGGAACCAAGTTATACTATGATCTTGAGTGTATCATTTTACTTCTCTAAGGACTAGTTTACTCATTGTGAGACTAGGTGTTTAAGAGAAATAGTGCCCAGAATTTGTTTCATTTCTGCATTTGTAAATCTCTCCAAGTCCTGGAAAGAAACAGTCATTCTTGAGGATCACATTATAGCCCGTTCATGTTTGTCCTAACATTATGCTTTGCGCCTTCTCAAAGACTTGTCATCTACAGCATCGTGATTGTGGTCTCTGTTTAGCTTACTCATTATGGCTTGCTGTCCCCAGGTTCTATCTTGGAGTTCTTTTCTTCTGACTCTTCAGCCTCTTCTTGGCACTATTAAGATAGTTGTTATGGTTTGTGTCTTTGTGTCCCCCCAAAGCCTCATGAGGTCATGGGGCAGGCTTTTAGAGTTTGATTGATTATGGATGTGAGAGTTACAACCTGCCCTGGAGTGGATTCGGCTGTGTTCTGCCGCCATGAGCTATAGCCCTCTGCCATGTGCCACTCTGCCTTGTAACCTGCCAAGTGTGGACTAAAACCTCCACAAACTGTAAGCAAAATAAACCTTTCCTTCCTTCATTTTGGGCATTGGGTATTTTGTCTCAGCCATGAGAGAAAAGTAACCAAGACAATAGTCCATAAAATAAATAGATTTCAGACTCTCAGTAGGGTTGGATGCAACGGCAGACAGAAACACCAAAACAACACCCAAGATTTGGAGACAGATTTATTTACATTGTTGGGCATTGACCAGGATCATTCCCAGAATATCAGGTCCTCCTTTCTGGTGGTCTAGGGCTTATATGAGATAAGCAAGCAGGAAGTACAGAGGCAGAATGGCTTGCCAACTGGGGATTGATTTATACAGTGTGCATCACAATGAGCAGCTGTTTCTAAGAGACAGAAGCAACTGGAACTGGAACAGGAACTACTACTTGGGCAACTAACAAACTGAAGTATTCTGGCTGGGCGGGGGGGGCAGCATTTTCTGTTACACAATGACTTGCAGAGTTAAGTATGAACCTGGAAGTGCTGACCTCACACTTTACCTGCTTAATCATTAGGCTGAGGCACCTAGAACAGGGTATTTGATTGTCCTAATAATAGATATTTGTGCTAGATCAAATGACAGTAATTTTTTTTATCTTTATCAGGTTGCTTTCAAGATGTACTTGGGAGTTACACCAAGTGTGACCTGTAACAATTCAAGCAAAAATGAATTTTCACTGATTCTAGACAAGAATCCTCTTTCGGAATTTGTGGAAGAGCTCCCTGCTGGACGGTCTTCTCTATGCTACTGCAATTTACTCTGTGGGATCATCAGAGGGGCCCTGGAAATGGTAACACACATACTTCATTTTGCCAGGTGTACAGCTGTAACAAACTACCTGAGACTGTAGCAGTTTAAGATAGCAAACGTTTATTCTCTCCCACACTTGCTGAGAAGCAGAAATCTGGGAGCAGCTCAGCTGGGTGATTGTGGTTCAGAATCTTTCACAGCTTCATACACATGCAGTCAAGTTGTTGGACAGGGCTAACCATCTAATTTTACAGAATCTTCGCTATTAAGAATGATGGGGCCGGCTGGTAGCCAAAACCCTAGACATGCGTTGAGCTACTCAGTAATGATCCCCTGTGCATATAACTTTTAATTATTCATGGTAATTAGGGGAAAGATAAACAATCCAAAAACATGAGAAATAATATATTATTCACACAGACCCTCATGTTTTTATCCTGACATTCTTTTAAAGCTTGTCTTATATCAGTGACCGTAATGTTGAGGGAAGGAAAGAGAAGAATTCTGGGAATTTACAGGCAAAGGGAGAAACCATGAAATTAAATAAAAAATAGGAAAAGAAGTTTCCAGGTTTCATGGATAGTGGTTGATTATTATATATGCTAAATGGCAAGTAGATACCAGGCCTCACATGGCCCTAAATATCCAAAAAGCTTCAACAGTTTCCTTGTTATTTTAATTTTCTGTTAAGTTTTGACAAAGACATAAAAAACATTATGGGAGAAAAAGTAGAGGATAAATTTAGCTTCTGTATTCCCCATTGCAATCTGCAATTTTCTACTGGCTGATAGGTAACATGAGGCATAGGTTTTACAAACTATATTAGCCAGATAATTTGGCCCATGGGATTCTATGTTTTATCGAATTCTAAGTGAGAAGTTTTTTGTGAGAGAAGGAAATGAGTCAGATAAGCATCAATAAATACTAATTAATCATCTGCTAGACTTAGGCATTTTCCACTTACTCTGCCTCTAGTAGGCACTTTCATTTATTTGTCTTATTTATTAATGACTTAAAATAACAACAAATACCTTATTAGGGTGAGCCAGCAACATCCTGCCAGTCTTATGTGAACACATTTTAATGAATACAGAAAGAAGCCCTGGGGGACATGGGAAATGCTTCTTGAAGAAAAAGAAGGCCTGGGTGTTAAATGTTTATGTCAGTAATTTCAATCTTTAATTTATATTTATAATTTATCAAGTTGATACTTTTTCAAAGCTCCCCAAAGCCACAATTGATTGCTAAATATTATTCAACTAAGTGGCTATGTTATTTAGCTAATGACAATGATCTATGACAAATCAGTTTGAGAGGAATCCTTTAAGAATCCATGGAAGTTCTGCCAGGCCACGCACACTAGGGCAGGCTCTCTTTGAGGTGGGCATCGTGTTCTTCTCCAGAAGGATCCACAGTCGGGCCCAGCCCTGCCATGCAAGCACAGCCGATGGGTCCCCCACCTCGGGGCCAGTCGAGCATCGCCTTTGTCACAGCTGATAATGGCATAGGCCCACAGGTTCTGGGCCATCTCCAAAGGACACACGCTCCAGGCCCTGCATCCACAGAAGGGTTTCATGTGCACCTCTCCGCGCAGAGAGTAAACAAAGGTGTAAAAAGAGATTGAGAAAACTTCAGAGGTTTTTTTTCTTTTCTTTTCTTTTAAAGATCTGATTTTTTCCCCCAGGTTCATTTGGCTGTTGATGTCATGTTCTTGCAAGACAGACTAAAAGGCGACAGTGTGACAGAAATAGGAATAACATTTTTAAAACAGCCCGAGAAGAAAAAATACAGACGGAGAAAATGAAGGCTAACATGCTAAATGTGCAGGGTGCCTGGCCACAAGCGTGTGGAATTAGCTCACATGGACAGCCGCAGAGATTTAGAATTGCTCACCAGCATGGGCTTTGAATGGCTTATAAATCAGCCAGAAATTTGAAATGTGGGGCATGAGGATTTTATTTTGCTTATAAATCACACATTTTCATATCATGTCTACAAGATTTCATATACAAATAACTCTGTATAAGATGGCAAGCATGAATTCCATGTGTTACACAGCTCATCCTCAGAGTCTTTTCATTCATTTTACTTATAATGAAGGGGAAAGGGCAATGCCTGTACAAGTAATTGGTATGTTATCCTGTGTCACTGGAAAAAAGAATGATACAGCGTAAATTCATTAAATAGCCATAGTTTTTAAATACTATCTACAACATTCTCTGTAGAAACACTTCTATTTGTAGCACTTTTCCATAGTTTTAAAAAATTATGAATGATTTTTCTCAAATATTATTTTGGTTTATACCTTCAGGAGGCAAAAACTCGATTTGTAATCATCAAGACAAGGTACTTATTTGGATGCCAATTCTGAAGAATTTAAAAATAGCATTTAATTTGCATTCATTTAATTTTAATTTTTTTTTACAATAGTGGTATCTACCCCTTTCTTTTCGCATGAAATATTACTGACAGCTGGGAAATCTGTAAAAGGAGTGGTAAATAATGTTCTTAGAGAGTAGTTCCTTACCCCACAGTTTTCAAGAACTGAGAAATTTTACTGAAAAGGATCAACATGTAATGTGTGTATGTACCAATTCCCTAGGATAAATGTATTTACTATGTATCACAAATGTGTACTAATAAAAAATGGGAAGAAAAAATAAATTTTGTCATCGTTTTTAGCCTGAAAAAATCTTCCAAAGTAAAAAAAAAAAAAAAAAAAATCTTCCAAAGTGTATTTTGTCTGTGACAAGAACATTCTTAAAATCCAAGGCACTTCTTCTACCTGGTCTCCCTCTGTACCAAAAGCTGTTCACGCAGCAACTGCTGCCTCTCACTTGGGTTCTGCACCTGGTGCCCCGATCCCTGTGCTCAGAATGGCAGACCTGCCCCCAACTCTCTGCACCCTCCTTCATGCATTTCTGCAGGTGCCATTGTCCCCTACTCTGCAGAGGGCTCGGTGGGCCCTGCCCACCACCAGTGCCTTGATTCTCCTTCCAAGTGTAGCACACAGGGCGACCCTTATGGTGAGGGCAAAGGTCGGTAACTGGGCCGGGGAAAGATAAGCTACAAGACCCTTGCAGACCTCACTCTGTCCCCTCAGAGGCTCCACCATCCTATGAGCAGAACTGTGGCAGTACTGACCCTGGCCTAACCCCTGGGAGCTGACCCTCCAGAGCTGACCATGCTGCCTTCTCTGGCGAGCCAGGCCTCTGCCCTGGGACAGAACACCCAGGGCCTTATGCCTTTGCTGTCTCCCTGGCCCGGCCACTCAGGACATGCGCCTGCCCAGGGCCAGCCTCTCCTGGCTCCCCTAGAGACGGCTCTCTTCTCCCCTGGGTTGGGGCGGGGCAGCAAGTGTTTGGAGCCTGGAGAGACTATAAATAAGCCGCTTTATTTGTGGAGCTGGGCAGAGGCCCTCTTGGGCATTCCTGCCCTCAGGTGCCCTCAAAAAATAATAGTAATAAAAATAGAATTGAAAATGCAGCGTGAGGTGCCACACACCTTCAACTCTAGCAGTCTGGGAGGCTGAGGCAGGAGGATCCCATGTTTGAACCCAGCCTTGGGAATATACCAACTTAGTGAGACTCTGTCTCAAAATAAGAAAGAAAAGAAGGGGCTAGAACTGGGTGTAGTTGTGCACATCTATAATTGCAGCACTTGGGAGGCTGAGGCAGGAGGATTACTATGAGTTCAAGGTCAATCTGGGCTACATAGTGAATTCAAAGGGAGCCTGAACAACATAGCGAGACCCAATCTCAAAAAAAATAAAATATAATAAAAGCATACCGTGGGAGGAGGTAGGGCTGTAGCCCAGTGTGAAGGCCCTGGGTTCAATCTCCAATGCCATAAAAAAAAAAAAAAAGAAAACATACTGGATTAAATAAACAATAATCTTCATCAGAGCATTATCACGAGGCGGAAAGCTCAAATTACAAGTACAGTTACTGTGACACCATAAGTTAAAACTGATGTAGATCGGGTTAAGGGTGTGTTTGGTGGTGGAGTCCTTTTCCAGCATGCTTAGTACCGTGAATTTGACTCATAACACTGTAGAAACAACAACAAAAACAAGAAGCTGGTGAAGTGATACGGATAGAAGTCAACTAGGATTCCCATCAACTAAGACCCTGTGCAAAGCCTCTCTCTGTCTCTCTCTCTGCCCCTCTGTCACTGTGTCTTTCTCAAAATGAGAGAATCAGACATGATAATTATCTAAAACCGTATCAGTGGGTTTAAATGACATAGATGAGCACTGAAATTCCACACTTTTGAACTTTAGAGGACCACAGGAGATGTTGCCCTCTACCTAGCTGTCTCTGGGCCATTGAGGTAGCCCTAGCAGATAGGGCCCCTGGAGCAGCTGCAGCACCAATGAAAGATCTGCAGGCCTGTGACACAAATGAATAGAATCAAGATTTCTGATAGCGGAAGGGGTAGCATGATGTCATGTTTTTTAAACTGGTACCTCCAGTTGAAGGCTCACTTTCTTTTTTTTTTAAGGCTCACTTTCAATCCATCTAAAAACTTGTTTTTCTGCCATCTGATCAACTGCCTTTTTGTCCACAGTGCACTTACCTCCCCAGGAACACATAGAGACCCACTTTTAAGGGCTTCCTTAAATAAACATCCAAATAATTCTCTTCAAAATGTTCTCTTGCCTGAGGTATTCTGCAGCCTGCCCCAATCCCTGCTTTCTTTCCTAACCCAACTATTAAAGCCTACCCACCTAAAAGCACCTTAATCTGATCTTCTTAGTAATGCTGTGTGCTGGAACTAGTGATGGCTACAAAATGGGGTCTTCTCTATTCTTTGTTTTTCTCATCCTGGAGGGACGGGGCTCCCTTGACTTTGGTGATGCCAGGAAAGATGCCCTATGTACCTAAAAGAATGGCTTGTTCATGTTTAACATGTTCTCTATCCTGAGGGATGTTGAGAATTGAGAAGTTGCAATTCATTAGAATTTGGAGAGCCATATGTATTACTTCAATTTTTTTATTTTAAAGATAAAAGGAGGGAAACATTAACAGACATACAACATTTTACAACATATCACAAGCACAATACAGACAATACAGAGTTACAAACAAAGTAGTAGGG